CATTCTTCTGTAAAATATGGTCAAAAATCCATAAATTACTAAAGTGTAAAACCATGAAACAGTCGACCTTCACCATTAAAATCAATTGACTCAATTACTAATTTCAAACAGTATCTTTTTAACTATTTTTAGCAAGATATTATACCTGAAGCCTCTGAAATATGTTGTTATGCTTTTATTATTACTACTCTCTTGATACCGACTAGTTTTATTAACTTTTTGTTCTCAAATTTTTAATGTTATTAATAGCATTGCTATTAATATTATTCTTTTATACTTATTAGTAAATTGTTATTTTTGTTTTTAACATAATAGGTGTTATTAATGCTTTATTTAATTTTTTCTTAAGTTTATTTACTACTTAACTATGAAATTGTTATTGTTATTATCACTATTATTGCTATTATCGAATATTGATCGTAAAATAAAGATAATTGTTAAATTAAATAATAAAGATAATTGTTAGTATTGTTACTAATATTCCTTTTTATCGTCATCTTATTATTGTTGTTAATATTATTTCTGTAATTATTATCCATATTATAATTGATGTTATTATGATCACTTTTATTGTAATGTTGCAGGTTTTTACTTTAGATTAGTTCTTGTACGATTTGTAAAAGTCCTTGAAATTTTACAACTTTCAGAATATATTGATTTAATTAACTTTAATTAAGCTTATTTCGATTATAAATAAGAGAATAATTATTTTTAAAGTAAGTATATTGATTGTTTTCATTCTTGAGCGCGCGTTTAGTATAACTGTGTAAAGCGTTAACTTCGTGAAAGAATTGTCTGTAGTTCGTGAACTACATCTTCCCCAAATTTGTTTGAATATTGGACACAGGTTCAAGGTCGAACGCATTTGAGTGAAACAAGTTTTAAATGAAATAGAAAAAAAAAACTAGTGGTGAATAAAATAAAAGCATCGGGTTTTAACCCTTTCGTTACCGATAGCAGATATTAGAATATTTCTTTAAAAGACCATTATGCGCATAGCGGTTTTGATTTCTGTTAAACCAGGATTTTATAAACAACATCAGTACTAAGCTTAATATAAACTAGAAAAAGTTTCTAAAATTTATGGAGCGTTTATTAAATTGTAAAGTATATAAATCATTTTATTCCCTCTTTTTAATTTTTATTTTTATATTATAATCTAACTCGATATATTGATGTGACTAAAATTAGAAATTCATTAAAAATTATATTTTATTTGCGACGGAATCTCCAAATGAACTCATGTAAATAACTATCCAATAAAGCTTCATATGTATCATTTGTACCTACGAAGCATTTTTTTGCTCTCATCCCCACGTTTCCAGTATATTGAGTGGGGACATAATGGTTATTAGGATTAACAAAATTCTTCTAGTGTACTACAAATGGGGAGGGGGGGTCCACAATCGTCTTTTTTAGATATTTTATAGTTTAACCAATTTTTCTTATTTAGTTTATCATGCTGATTTCAAAAATCATAATCATTTTTTTTTTATTTTAATTATTTAGCCTTCTACTTCAATTTTAAGGTTGTGTTTAGATCATATCCCATTCGGAACGATTATTTTTGTTTGCGTATTTATAATAGCAAGGTAGATAAAAGATAAAAAAGCAAGCGAGATAAAAACAATGGTAAATATTTAGTTTTCTAAATGACGTTAAAGCATTATTAAATTTACCTTACACTTAAATAACGCGCTATTTAATAAAAATATAGAATAACAAAAAGCAATGCTTAAAAATGTTTTAAGTACCAAAAATGCACTATATACTGCTTAAAATAACGGTCTCTAATTTTAAATAATATTTTTTAGGGTAAAACCATCAATTCCTGGCCGCCTAATTTTAAACTGCGTCATATGTTACCGCAAATGGCTTAGATTCTTGAAAATATTTCTAAACTCTTAAAAATCCTCTTGAGATACAAGTTATGACAAGTTTGGTAATTTTTGTTAATAAATTAGTTATAATAATTTTTAGTTCAAATATTACTAGGCATAAAAAACACCAAATCATGGCCAGAGATACAAAACATGGACATTGCGAACTTATTCCTGACCATTACGTTTTACGAAGTAAAAGTAGTGATAACATTTTTAAATTTAAATAAAAATTAAAACAAATTTATTGTAAAGAGTTTAGTAAAAAAGTTCTGCATAAATTTTTACTTTTATAAATTTCTTTTTTTTAAAAGGTAAACAAACAATAGGTTTTAAAGCTAACTAAAATGTTCAAACTCAGATAAAATAACGTTGCGTTAATCTTATGTAACAAACTGAGGTTCCAATTATGAAAGTTGGATTATACTTTCATTTTTTAAAACTTGGAAAGCCACTAACTCAATATTTAAAGCAAAAAACTTCTTTTTTTGTGGCCAGGATTTGGTGGTGGCTATATATAGGTGGTGTTATTATAACGAATATTTTCTTTTTGAATGTTTACACAATTTTTTTAGCTTGTATTTCATTGAAAATATTCATTTCAAATATTATTTAAAAATATTATTAGAACTTTTTTTTGTGTTATAAGTTAAAAAACTGCTTTTAACTCATAACGTTTTGAATTTGACATCAATACCGCTTAAGCGAGTTGGACGTGCCTGGTTAATACACAGTTATGTTTATAATTTTATATAATAAAGTTATATACTAATACAAACTTTTTTTATAACTTTTTTCAATTTAAAAAATTTATTGACATCTGGAGCACTTCCAATGATTGCCATAATTCTTATTTTTGAATATGTTTGTTGGTATGTTTTGGCATCTTTTATGGAACCATTCACTGCATTTTGAGCACTGTGCCATGAAGAGGCCTTTGTCTGTCTCGACGTCAGAATCAAAGAAAGACATCCTACATGAACAAAAAATATCTTGAAGGACTATTTTTTGTCTTCCTCGTTTAATTCGTTTACTAAACGAAGCTTGTGGAAAAGTACTCATTAAATTTTGTCGAAAACAATTAACTAGATGTGCCCGCATTTTAGTATGGTCATAGTTTGAATCAACTGGATTTATCCCAAAGAGAATATCTGTTGCATATGCTATCGCAAATAAGCCGCAATCTGAACCATTTTGTTGTTGTTGTGTGGGCTCAATTAAAATACGTAGTATGGATTCATTGCAGTTTACAACATGACAAATTTGTTTAATTGAGGTATGGTGTAAAGGATTACTAGATAAGGAGTCAAAAACTTTAATATTATTCGATGTTTCTGCCGCAAATGTTATCCAATGGTTGTTACTGTAGATTATTTGTATCCTGCTTGACTTTAGCTTGGACATTTTAAGCAAAGGACCTAACCCAGTATCTTCCAAGCCTTCGGCAAAAGGAAATTGCTTGTGGAGCAAAAGTTGAGCATGGTTAATTTCATTACAGGTTAACCAATCACCACTTTGTATTACTTTTTCCATATTGGAGTCGAATATTGAATGAAATCGATAAAACTTAAGTTCTCCCGGTCTCCCTTTTTTTAATTGAGTAATTACCAACTCTTCTTCTCCAGTTTCCATCTTATCTTCAACATGCTGTTTTTCTTCTTCGCAAATTTCAATGATGATGTCCTCTTGATCAGAGGAGTCAGTATTGAGCTCCAGATTTGCTCTGTAACATTGTTTCTTCATTTCAGCTGTCTGTCCACACCTTCCACTAAACGGATGCTTTCTTTTTCTGGCGAATAAATTTTTAGAAGACAAGTTACTTTTTGGTTTTAAAATAGATTTTGATGTTAAGCTGGTTTTTGATTTAAATTTTTTTATAGGGGAGTCCCTTTTTATTAATCCTGATGGTTGACTAAGATTTTTTAATATTAACGCTGTAATGGTATCTAAGTCTGTGTTCATATGATCCAAAATATTTTCATCTTTAACAAGATAGGTTAAATCCATTAATCTTTTTAATTTAGAGCGCGAATCGATTTGATAACATTTTGAAGTTGGTTGGCGTGTTTTAAAGTCATTCGCGTAATGCTTGTTAAATAATTGTTTACTCTTATCTTTATTATCAAAATTGTTGACTTGTAAGTCAAAAATATTGTTGCCATTAGAAATACTATTTAGTTCATCGTCTATCTGCTGCTCGTTTTTGTTCTCAGTTGGTTTTGTATTACATTGAGCTTCTTTCTTTGACGAGTTAACAAAAATTTCGGGATCCAGAACGGACCAACTATGATTAAGAAACTTGGTAGTAAGATTTTCAAATGTTGACATTCCAGATTTAAACACGGCAAAAAAATGTTTACAAATTATTCGATGACGACGATAATCTGAACAAGAACAGGAACAAAACTTATCCTCGTTACCTATGCACACAATATAATCGTTAATGTTATTAGTTTTAACTTCGGAACTATTGACCCCGAATGTTATTGGGTCTATTCTTTTAACTGAATTTACCATCGAAGATGTTACTTTGCTTTCGTTATTCAATAAAATATTTACAAGTTGTTTTGGGCGATTTCGAAAATACGACGGCACTCCATCATTATATTTTTTATAACCTTCACTGTACCTTACGTTCAACTCCACGTATTTACGATAATGCTTTGGTATGAAGTTTTCAATAACAACTGTAAGCATCTCACTGAGTGAGCAATATTTGTAGTTAGCAAGGTCGTCGTATTTTAGATCCTCGTTTAATCGCTCAGTGCCATTGTTGGTATTATTAAACATCATGTCATCAGGTCTATAAGCCAGACACCATCTTTTTATCTCTGGTAACCACGTTCCGTGAAACCTTGATTAAAATAGCTATTCTAGTTATGTATTATAACACTTGTAGTCAATATATACACACCATATAAAAAAAAGCGTATAATAGCTCTACGACAATAACAAAAAAAGTTAAAACATAGAGTTATAAAAGTATTAAACTTTTAACAACAACACCTTATTAAACATTGCTAACATAATTATTTACAAAAAAAAAAAATTACCATTTTAGAAGTTTGTCTTTACAGAATTCCCTAGATAAGAACTCGGACGTAGCTTTTCGACATTCTTCTACATTTTCTGAATGCGCTATACGACGCAAGTATATTTTAACCTGTTGTGCAATATTTTGCACCCCATTATCTAATTTTGAAATCCAACGGTGCCAACATTGCTCACAATGAAAGTCGCATAAATACACCTTAATGTTAGGAAAAACTGATTCTAGCGAATAAATCTCTTCTTCGTCAAAGTCAACCATTGCATATTTAGGCTCAATATCAGGATTCCATGATTTTATTAATGTCAAAGCTTTTACGATCATGACTTGCGTCTCTTCCTGCAACACAAAAATTGCAACCACTTGGAAATTTACATTAGTCCTGACAACTAAAAAAAATAAAGGCAAGGAATACTTTGTAGTTTTATATGTTGCATCTAAACATATAAAATGCTCTGCATATCTTTGATACAAACGTTTCATTTTTTCAGACTGATAAACAAAAATCATTTTACCATCTGTATTATGAGTTGCAAGATTTTTAATTACTTTTTCGACCTCTTCGTCACTTTGCAAATCTATGTCGTTTTCCACTGTTTGAGCTTCGATGCGCTTGCTTAAACCCTCAAACCATATGTCACCCCATTTAGACCATTTATCTGTTACAAGTTGTTCAACATTTATTTGGTCTACTTTGGCATATCGATTTTTCAGCTTTTCGGATATAATAATATTTCTAAGTTTTCTCCGAGAAGGTGTATATCGGCGTCGGTGAAAATCGTTGTCGCTAAACGTCGGTAAAATAACTAGATTAACATATCCTTCAGCTCTACTCTCTAAATCTCTTATGCCCTTACAACCACTTCTTATCTGTTCTCGTAAAAAATCATTTACTCTTTTGTCTAACGGTTCTATCAAACCAGCTGCTTCACCAATGTTATGATTTTCATGTGGTTCAGTAGGCCACTTCAACAAATAAACAAGTTGTCCGATTTGAGGAGAATTTTTTGATCTTGCTACTATAAACTGCTCTTTTAACTGCCTTCCTGCGTTAGTTCGATTATACTTATTGTTTTTAGGCAATTTAGTTTCATAAAAGATCATGATTTTTTTAACAGAAAAAGACACAGGGCAATCCATTTTTTTTGTCGGTTGCGTGTACTTACGCGATTTTTTGTACATGTGATCACTCATACGAAGAGCATCATTTTCCATTCGGTATCTTTCTTTTTTTTTAGCATCAATATCTTTACCTTGATGGCAGTGATAAATTTGTTTTCCAAGCAATATATAAGGGTGCCCACTATAAGGAATTGGTAATCTATCATTTGCCCCACAAAATTCCCAGCATGGTTTTGGTAAATTCTTTGATGAATTTAAAATGTCAATCAGGGAAACTAAACAGATTAAATAAAAAAATTAAACAAAATATTTTCGGATGCATTCCATGCTGTCTCCCACAACGTTAATATATGTGACTTAAAACATAAAATATTTATTTAATGAATTATGTGACATACCAGCACGTTTATGTCATAATTATTATTATTTTTTTTCAATTACTTAGGTGCTCTAAGTCCTAATGGTCTTGTCACAGAGCACCGCCACATGGAGAACAGCATTTATTAAGTTGGCTCTCCGTTTCCAACTTTACCAATAACGTTTAAGTGCTTCGAGCGGGATCGAACCCACAACCTTTTGGTTACGAGTGCTATGCTCTAACCACTGCGCCACGGCTGCTAATCTAATAATAATCATTTCAATTATATCACATCTAGGTCAGAAATAAACTTTATTTATTTGAGCTTACCATCTTTGGAAAAATCTTTTGATTCCTTTGCGACACGATACTTTGTAATTGTTTCTTCTTCGTATGTCTGTATAGCATCTAACAATGAACTATAGCTCATACTATATGAACTATAGCTCAAACTAACAATGAACTATAGCTCAAACTGCAAAACATCTAAAAAAAAAAAGAAATTGAAAAGGAGTTTTTTTTTTATATACTTGCATAGTAGTGTCCGGGGTTTTGGAGTCGCAAGTTTTTTATCACGGTTCGACAGGCTTACGGAGCAGAAAGTTTTTTTCATGGTTCTGCTCCGGCTCCTAACAAATATACGGTTCTGGCTCGGCTCCCGAATTTTTTGTGCAATAATTACAAATAAATTTTTTTTTTTTTGTAATTCTATTTTCTCAAACATTAATCTCTTGCTTAATTAAACAGTAAAGTTTGCATATTTGAAAAAAAACTCAGGAGCTGCTACATTTTTGCGGCTCCTCTAAAAAACAGCGGCTCCACGGCTCAGGCTCCACAAGACTGGTAGTGTCACACTATCAAAAAAGTCGCACGATTACACAAAAGAAAACACCAAACAAAGTTTTGTATTAGTTTGATTTTAAAGTCTAAACACATTCCGCATTTCTTTTGAGGCCATGTCAAAATATGATATGTTCTTAAGCGACGATGAAAAATAATATGTTCTCAAGCGTAAAAAAAAGTTAAAATACCTAATTGCTGCGATTGACAATTCACAAGTAAATTTTACAATACTTAGAGTAAGAAGTCATTTAGCCAAACAATTAGCAGGGAGACCATATGTGCGCAGCGACTGGATCCAAATAGGTAATCATTTATTATCCTCGGCGGATACGCAAATAGGGCTTAAATGGGTCCCAGACTATTCACTGGGCAACTTATAAGATTCCCTGATTTTATTCTCATAATTCAGCCATAAAATTTAGAGATAATAAACAACAGAATAAGTTTTTTTTTTATATAAAAGCAAACCACTAAGTACAAAGAAACATTAAACGGAGAAACAAATATATTGTCCAACTCAGGTGCATTATCGTTGGTAGCGTATTTCTGAGAATATAATCGGCTGTTACTCACACAATCCAACGACTTTTGAAACCATAACAAAAACTCCATTTCTATTTCGCTTTTTGTGCAGCTTCTGTGCTTCGATTGAACTTAACAGCAACTAATTATAAAACAGTATATAAAAAGTACATAAAGAACCCACATTACCTGGTTTACAAACAAAAGGGATGAACCCAGACTTTTTAAAGTAACGTTACAGCAGTACGGGCGCCCAAAAAAAATACCCGATTATTACAAAAGGGCCTAATGGATTATTATAAAGCGGCCTAATCGACCTAAAGACACATACCTAATTAGATTTACTAAAAACTCGATCCCAGTTAAACCCGTTGAACTTAAATCATTCCAGATAGCCAAAAATTGAAATTATATGTTCTACAACTATATAGGATACATTATCTTGTTTCTTAACCCTTAAATTAAACAGAATGAAGTATTCTAATAATAAACCAAGACTTAACTAGACTCTCTGCTCAGATTGATGCCATGCTTATAAAAACTACATAAAACTAAATAAATTAAATAACAGTTTCTAAAAATTGTGCTCCATGATTACCATTTTATGATTATTTTTTTAATGATAAACATCTTTTCATAGCTAATAGCTTTTTTTACATTTTTTTTTTACTTTTGTTTGTGAGACAGCAATCAGTATTCTTCTTGAATTGATTGCTGCCTTGTTCTTTAAAGCTCTCAATGTTTTGTTCATAACTCCATTATAATATAGTCAACCAGTTTATCTGACTTATTTAAAACTGATATCTTATCCACCTCTACTGCTCACCCAACTCAGTATATTGAAATAACATGAGTAAGATCGAGGTAGTTAACTGTAGAAATCTCCATTGTAATTCACATGAGTATATTAAGCAGATTAATTGGTTGTATAATATTAGCAATGTTAGTCTTACTCAATTTTAATGTTACTGTCTTAATACTTTTAAATCAGGTTGTAACAAAAATCAACCTATACCAAACTGGCCAGATTATGTAAGCGATGCTCATAAGACTGCTAAATATGCATTCTGTCTATGACAAGCTTTACAAAAATTTTTAATCTTTTTTACAATGCTTTTATTTAATGCTTTAAAAAGAGCTTTATATAAATATGCCATTTGTCACTGTAAAAAAAGAAGATATTACAAATGAATAAAAGCTGGCAAACAGTTAGGCAAAGGAGAACTATACTAGTTTATGGTATACCTTATGATTATTGACTATGCCTCAGTTCCTCCTAATCTATGTTACACATAGCATAACAACTATTCGATCTTATTTAGCTCAATCGAGCCAACATAGTAACATGTTGTTACCAACCAACATATATGTATCCTACTACCTTGTAGGATACATCTCTTATCTTTTTCAGGCAAAGGCTAGAAGCCAACTCTGACAAAAAAAAACAATACCTTTGGGGCACTTGGTTGAGTAAAGTTAGCGATAAAAGAGTCTCAATAAAAAACTCATCTTGGGCAGACATTAAATGCATCCAGCTACTGTCTAGTAAAAAGCCTCCTAGGCAAAGACTTAAGAGGTAACATATTCTATCTGTTGACCAGCTTTGCACCCCTCTTCATCTATTAGGCTGGCGTAGATGAATTTACAGTACAATGTTTCTAATTTAGGATGTTGAATGCTGGAATCTCATGACTCAATGCATGGGATTTGCTTGTGTTCCTGTTTGTACAACTAACCAACTTATTTTATTTTCTCCTAATGAGAGTACAGCTCTCTAATTCATAGTTTAATAGTTCTGAGGCTGGCTGTTAGTTAGGTTTCTTGAACTCTGTGGAAGCTCTCATAGAGGCTGATTACATAAACAGCTGTAAAGATTTAGAATCCAAACAATGCTATGTTACGCATGAATGGTGTCCCTGTTTGTTTTTTTGGTGAGCATTGTCAAGGCTACATCTGAAGCCCTTTGTTAAGGCTTAGGATTTATTAATAGTAATGAGGCAATTTCATGGACATTCAAATAGTATACTGAGTAGACTGTGCTATTAGTCAAGTTCTTAAACTAATCAAAAAATGACTATAAATATATAAAGTACCAAAAACTATAAAACACAAAAAACCATCGTCATCACCAAGTTCTCTAATTCTATAATCCACTATAATTTGTGGTCTTCGGCATAACTTTTCTTCTTTTGAGTCTAATCTTTTGTAAAGTTAACCAGACCTACTTGCACTTTGTGAAATTAAATTGAGCTCAGCTGTCTCATCCTGTGATCTTAGTATTGATGGATATATTATTTTGGTTCTTAAAGACTCTAAGTCAAATATTTGGTCTAGGCTTTTACATTTAAAAGAATTGTCGGGAAACTAGATTTAAATCCCCTGACCACTTCACTCATTCACCTTTATCTTTGTTCTATATCTCTCTCCTTTTTCTCAAGACTGCACTCTTTTGGATGTTATATCTGATCAAATTGACCTAGCCCTTTCTCCTCATCTTTTAGCAATTATTGTTGTTTTTGGTGACTTTATAGCTAATCACACAGAATGGCTTGGCTCTAATGTCAGTGACTCTGCAGGCATTTAGGCCCACAACTTTTGCCTTTTTCAATCTCTAATACAAATAGTCAACTTTCAAATACACGCTCTCCAGACAATCCGAATCATTCACCTTCTCTAATTGACTTATGTCTAGTTTCTGATCCTAGTCAGTGCTAGGATCATACTTCTGCTACAGCAAGAAAGTCTCAATGGCTGGTGAACTTTAACTTAAATAAGACTCAATAATTTTTAGCTAATCGTTATCCCAATAATTGCGATCTTCCTATATTTATGAATGATAATATACTTGACGAATCATCTACACTTTGGCTCCTATAATTAACTCTTACTTCTGATCTTTCTCGGAAACCATATATCAAATTCATTTCAAAATTAAATAGCATGCATCTCCTTATCGTGCTTGCCACGTTCTTACTACTGATTCTGTCCATTCTTGTATATAATAGTTGCCTAGGGTGAATCTTCCATTGATGACCTTTCTCTTTTAGATAAGGTGCAAAAGCGTAAACAAAGTTGAAGCTGTTCTTGCAGCCAACCTCCGACCATTGTCACATCCTCGTAATGTTGCTTCTCTTTCTCTTTTCTACAATTACTATGATGGGCGTTAGTGTCTCTTGTGCTATCTACTAAAATTCATTCTCATGTTATGCCTTATTCAATGAAGTCCTTTTACTGTGACTGTTCTTAAGTTTACTAAGTTTTCTAATTTACCTTAAATTTACTAAAAAGAAAAAGGTTGATCGCAAATTGAACTTTCTTGATATAATTATTAACTCTGTGAATTATAAATTTAATAATTCAACGTTTTACAAAAAAACATACACAGTTTTACAAACTAATTTTAAAAGCTTTACTTATATTAATTATGAACTAGGACTCATTAAAACTCTGATCAACAGGGCCTTCAAAAAACAGCAAGTTTTCATCTAGATATTGTAAAAATTAAACAAACACTCCAAAACAACTCTTTCCCCGTTAACTTAATTGACAAAACCTTCAAATATTTACTAAACAATTTTATCTCTCCTAAAGAAAATATGTCATCTGCAAAACCATCTGATATACATTACTTTAAACTCCCTTATATTGGAATAATTTTGAAATACATTTAAACACCAATTAATTAAATACATTTAATATATTTTAAAGATAATATAAAAGCAAGACTAGTTTTTACAACTTTTAAAATAAGTAGTATGCTTTCATCAAAAGACCCCCTACCCCCAAATTTAAAATCCTTTGTTGTCGATAAATTTGTTTGTTCCGGCTGTAACGTATACATTGGTAAAATCAACAGACACTACACCACAAGGGTTTCAGAACATTTAAATTCAGATAAAGTATCCAATATTTACAAACATCTTACTTCATTACAAAAATGCAAAAACTCAACAAATCATGAATCTTTTTGCTATTATTGACAGAGTTTCTTCATGTCAATTATTTATATTATAAAATGTAATTATGGTATTATTTACTATTGTAAAACTATTAAATTTTTAATGCAGCCAAATAACTCGCTTATATATAGGAATTGTAATTTTTTTTTATCTGATGATATCAATTGATGTTGATGAAACATGTTGTTAAAATTTTTATTCATTTGAAAATTATATACATATATATATATATATATATATATATATATATATATATATATATATATATATATATATATATATATATATATATATATATAATATATATATATATATATATATATATATATATATATATATATATATATATATATATATATATATATATATATATATATATATATATATATATATATATATATATATATATATATATATATATATATATATATATATATATATATATATATATATATATATATATATATATTATATATTTTATACATATATATATATGTATATATATATATATATATATATATATATATATATATATATATATATATATATATATACACACACACAGATATATATATATATATATATATATATATATATATATATATATATATATATATTATATATGTATACACACACACAGATATATATATATATATATATATATATATATATATATATATATATATATATATATATATATATATATGTATACCACACACAGATATATATATATATATATATATATATATATATATATATATATATATATATATATATATTATATATATAATATATATATATATATATATGTATACACACACACAGATATATATATATATATATATATATATATATATATATATATATATATATATATATATATATATATATATATATATATATATATATATATGTTTAACTATTGTTATTATATTATTAAGAATAATGTATTTGAAAGAAACGCTAACCTTTAAGAACTACTAAATCCATGAATTAATAGAGTAACCCACTGTAAAGGCAATGAAGTTAACAAAATGAATACCACGTAATAAAGCAATTATAGTAACAAATATAGATATATATTTATCAAACAAGGCACGTGTGATATGTTGTTATTAATATTGCTCCGTAAATGTTTTTAAATGTTGTTCGGCAAAATACGCAAATAAAAATAATCGTTCCGAATGGGATATGATCTAAACACAACCCAATTTTAATAAAAGTGAATATATTGACAAAAAAAGGCATTGTTAAAAATAGATGAAATTATTATTATCACTAAAATATAAGAAAAGTAGAAAAGTACAAATCTTTTTCGTTTAATTTAACAATAATATACGTTATCATTTATAAGAAACAAAAAAATTATATATTATATATGAAAATAGTTCATACAGGTTGTTATTTACTATTAATAATGGTAAAAAACTATAATAGTCATATGTGATAGAGATTGCTGCGTGAACTTTCCTTATAGAACATCTAGGTTATATGCGTGTTCTTTGGTAGACATAAGATAGAGGTTTGTATTTTTATATCAACAATCATGTATTTAAACAGAATAGACCTCCGCGACAATCCAAAAAGTTGAAACTATTCCATAGTTTCAGCTTTTTGGACAAATAACTGGACAATAATTCTCCAAAATATTTTTAAACTGCAATAATCTTCATTTTTTATAAGGTTTAAATAATTAAGAATACATCTACTGTTGAAATTAAATGGGTTTTTTCCAAAGCTATCCAACTGCAACAACTTAACTAGAAAGTTAATACTAATCATTTTCCATCATCAACCAAACACAAAATACTTTTCTTTATTATGAAGTCCTGAGGCTAACTTTTGCCAAAGTACTCTAGCAAGAATGATACAATCATTCAACCTCTTTAAGGTATACTGCTTCTAAAATTTTTATTTAACTAGCTATTCACTAGGTTTTAGAGTCAAGCAGAAATTTCAAAATTTAATCACCCAGTTTGTTTTTTATAAAGCCTTTTTGGTAGCGGTGTTCCTTTAGCCTGTTTATCTTTAGAGTTGTTAAAATTTTAGAATTTAACTGAACTTCTACTGACTGGCATTTTAAAAGAAGATTTAATCTTGACTTCATTAAAGAAAATTGAAAAAAAAAAATGAAATCTTGAATAGCCTTCATAATAGCTTGAATAGCGATTAAAAATAAATAAAAAAAAAGAAATTAAGATATTTTAAAGCAATCTGTCTTTTTGATTACTTAAAACGTTTTGATTAGAAAGAGACTTCAGATAAGAGTTTTTTTTTTTTGAAGCAATCTGTCGTTTTACTTATTTTAAATTTTTTTTTAGAAAAAGACTTCAGATAAAACTTTTTTCTAAGACGCAATCAAATTTATCCAATCAAAATTTGAATAGCATAAGTTAGAAAGAAAAGTTGCGTAACTTTATACTCAAAGAAACTTTTGTAAAGACTTTTCTTTTTTATATTTTTAAATTTTTAAAATAGAAGTGCAAGGTCAACCATAACAAATTAGCAAAAACTGAATTGTTTTTCAAACTTTTCTCAAAAAATTGTTTAAGAATAACTGGTTTACAAGAAATATAGAATTTTGGACCTCCACCCCCCTCCCTACTACAACTTCGAGCGCATACATGTTATCATTTTATGCATTTATGATTGCGTACGATGCCCATCAATCTGAAATTACATGCGATCTAGGCAAAATCCAACTTTCAAAAGCAGCTCGAAGTGTTACAACTGTTCTATCAGGCACTTCAACTAATAAGCATTTTACGAATACCACGTCAAGGTTCCCACCGGATCCTGGAAAGTTCTGGAATTTTTTAATTATTTTGTGAAATCCTGGAATAGTCCTATGTACATATATATATAAATATATATACATATATATATATATATATATATATATATATATATATATATATATATATATATATATATATATATATATATATATATATATATATATACATATATATAAATATATATATATATATATATATATATATATATATATATATACATATATATATATATATATATATATATATACATATATATATATATATGTATATATATATATATACATATATATAAATAAATATATATATATATATATATATATATATATTTATTCAAATACTTAAGAATCGTGTTAATATTGATACAGAATTGATACAGATATTGAAAGAAATAGTTTCAAACTGAGCATATGATATACTATATATATAAGGTATATACTTAGTTTTTGATATAGTATATCAAGTATAATACTTGATATGCTATATAGTATATTAAGTATTATACTTGATATACTATATCAAGAACCAGGTATATACTTAATATATATAGTAGGGTAGGTCGATTTTAATTCCGTTGTAGACAAGTAAAATACGATTACTCTCAAAATTTGAGAGATTTTTGATAAAGAATCGCTTGCTGATTAAATTTTTAAGATTTGTTGGATTATGTAAAAAAACACCTTAAAAAGCGTTATATGCAAAACTTGACGTTTTAACTAAGTTCATATTTAAATGTTTTTCAATACTATTTGCTTTGCTGTATGATTTAAGTTTATAACAGTTTATAACAATTAAGCTAAATTTATAACAACTTGTTAACTATTTCAAGATTTAAATAAAGAAACTTTTATTCTTATATTTACATAAGAATATCAAAATAAACATTATTTTCACAATTTAAAACATTTTGGCTATGGATATATATATTTTAGGAAAACATTTTCAATTAAAAAATATAATCATAAGAATGGGAATAATGCCCTTTTGAAATATACGGTTTACGCATCTTCCTGCTAAGCAGTTTAGTTAAAATGCAGCTGTGTCGATTCTCTAATCCATAAACATATTGGGATGCGGCCGACACAAGTTTTACCGCTCGCTCAACACTCTGGGAGTGAGATGGAAAGTCGGGGATTTCAGGTTTAACATTATTGTCAATCGCATATTGGATTTGCTCAATTAAAAAATGTTGTGTTGTTGGGGGCTCCGTAAATTTTGTAATGCTGATATCTACCAACTCATACCAATGATTAGCATTAAAATTAATTTCTGGAATTTTTTTCAAATTTACTTCCAAACTTTCGTTGTTTATTCTATAAATATAAATCAAATCCAATTACCACATTTAATGTATCATTTTTTTTTTCAAAACTTTATTTTAGTTTACTATAAAAAAATTACTTTGCCTTAGACCCAGTAGGATTTGAAAACCAAAGTTTCATATCTTGCTGTCATTATCTTTTAACATGGCATAAAGAATATTTTCACGTTTTAGGCAATGCATTGTTTTTAATGTTTTTTTTAACAACAGGTTTAACATCATGAAAGGGGAGATTATTTATTCTAGTAATAGTAGAAAAAATAAGGCGCGGGGATTCGTGAAATTTTGAAGATTTTTTACATCGAACCACGCTGAGGCGTAAACCTGAACAATAAAACATACGAGTTTTTTTAAAGAAACAGTTGGTTGATTGTCTCTAGTATACATACAGAGAAGGCGAATAGCTAGAGTTGACCACCTTGCATTGTTAAGCGGTCCAATTTTATAGGCGGCCCATTTATCAGAAACTTTACCAAAGCCTATTCTTTTGCAATATTCAAATAAAAGTCTTTGATCGCATTTAAGGTCTACTAGTATTTCTTCTGGAATATATCCATCTACAATTGGGTTTTCAATACGATTAAACAAAACTTGATTTTTATCCTGAATATTTTCAGCACATATTTTGCCAAGTAGACCAAGTAGACCAGATACTGACAGATTATTAAGATTTGAAAGAGCCTCATTACGCGAGTTCAGAAGTAAAGCAATTTATAATAAAACTCAAAGGCCAAGTATGGTAAAAAAGTCCGTGTAAAGGTGCACGAATGGTGAGCAGCAGCAGCGGCAGCGTTAAGTTAAGTATTAATTATAAGCGATTATAACATCAATGAATTGGAAATTTTTAGTACCGTATCGTAATCAGATACAACCTTGAAGTATATGGGTGCTAATTTAATTTTTAATTTATGTTTATTAAAAACACGTAACTAAATTTACTCGGGGCCCTGAGGCAAAGTTAAATTATAAGGTTCGAAAATCTAAATGTGAATGATAGGCTTTTCAATATTTATCAAGAATTTAAGAGGGCCCTAAATCATGAGCGTCCCAGCTTTCATATTGTTTGTTCTAATAATATTTAAATATGATATTTATATAAATACAATTAAAAATCACTATATTATTTTTATATTGTAATGATTTTAAAATTTTTTTCCTCGCATATATCGACTTAAACAATATTTTGTCGACAAAAAATTTCTTGAAGTTATACCAAGGCCATTTAAAGCTCACCCTAACATTTTTTTTTTTTTTTTTTTTTTCAGTCTGAAATATTTATTACTAAATTCACAAAAATTTATAATTCTAAATATAGTTTCTAATATTTTTACAATTTTTATATTTTGCTCAGAAGTTAGAGATATGTCTATAAAGTATGTACTCTAAGGTGAAAGGTGTCTGTAAATTTCTTGTTACTTGTTTTTCGAAGTTTTTAGTAAAAGTAAATGGATTATCAAAATTACATATAACTCTTCTGCTCCTAGACCTCTTCTGCTCCTGCAATTTTTTTTTTTTTTTTCTTGTTATTTAGGAGCCCCAAAAAGACCTAACGGTCTTGTCACTGTGGAAGTGCATTTAACCAGGAAGTTCACGACTCCTTCCTTACCGTGACGCGAAAATATGTCCAGAGCTCGTTTCGAACCTGGATCTCCTGGTTATAAAGCAAGCGCTGTAACCACTGCGCGACGGCCGCAACAAATCAGCCGATTTCGGCTGATTTGTTTTCACTCCGCCATATGTACCTTATAACCTCTTTATCAGCCATATTAAAAAAATGTTGTTTTTTTAATTAACTTTGAACTGTTGTTTAGTTTAATATGTGCGGCTAAAATATTAAGTACAGTCACAATCAAATGCTTGAAACATTTTTAAAATTTGCAAAAAATTTAAAAATGTTTGTTAAAAAATTTTTTTTTACATTAAAAAATTTTAAATGTTAAAATTGAATGAAAAGGTATGTTA